CCCTACAAAATCCTTCCTATTGCAGTTTTGCCATTCCTTCTCCTCCACCCTAGGCCTTTCCTGTCTGTCCCCAAAGTCTGCTGTGCAGTATGCATTAATATTTGTATACCAGTCAGAAGCTGGCCTCCCCCATTTGCTGGCTGGCCTCCACAGCTAAAGTTGTCATATAGTAGGTCCCGTATAGCTAGCAGGTATTTGAGGTGATGCTGAGAGTACTGGAAGAGTATCTTTGGCTCAGATGGATACAGTTTAGCAGCAGTTTAATGCAGGAGCTTAACCTCCTGGGTGGTATTTTTCTTGCCTGTTTTGAACTAAGGGATGGTGGTGCAGATGGACAGCTAAGAGGAACAAGAAGGTGTAGTATAGCTCAGACATACTCACATGAAGTCTGACTGGATTTTGTGGGACCCGCTTGCCATGGATTTGAACTCCACACCTTCCAAGTCAATATCTTGGGGTAAACACCACTCTACCATGTTGCCTGCAGAGAAGCAAATGAAAGCTTTATTTGGGTGAACAGGGTCACGACACTCATTACTGAAAGGTAAACACCAGGAACAGCCAGTTGCTGCTTTTACATCACTGGGATGCCAGTAACACTGCACTAACACAACTCCTGAGAGTTAGCAGAGCTAAACATCACGGGAAGAGGCAGTGTTACTGTGCTCCATGTATCTCTTGTAAACTTTACCTGTTGCAGCACAACATCCAGGTATTGCAAAACTTTTGGAGTTGTTTCAGAACCTGTGCTGTTTTGTGGGCTTATGCTTTAAATGTTTAATCACAGAGCAACTACAAATTTATCTCGCCAGGTACTCTGATAGCAGAGGAGCTATGGTACTAATGCTGTTCCATTCTTGGCTGTTTACCTGCGTATCAGATGTACAAAGAACCCAAAGGATGGACTGCTGCTCCTTAGGATGAGCTTATGTAATAGATCATACCACCACAGGTATTTTCCTTTGTTTACGTTTGGCAGGACTGGTCAAACGGGAACCCCTAAACCACCATTCTGATCATCACTACTTCTCCCTAGAATTTCTCATTTTTATATAGAATAGGAGGAGTAAGCTAAAGTTTTAGATGGAAGCCAAGTTGTGCAACATTTTGTGCATACTAGAATAATCGAAGAAAAAAAGCATACAATTACAAGCTAGATGAAGATTAACAAACATCTGTCACCTGGCAACCCAGCCAGAAAGCATGCAGTTGTTCACTGCTAAAGGCCACCTGAGCAGCCTGATCCTGGAACAAATGATATTGGAGAAGTCTCAAATCAATCCAACTCTAGCCTCTTCTGTTACTAAGACTGGCCACACAATGGGTCTCCCAGAGTCCAGCTAAGCTGTTGTTACTGGAATCTGAAAACATGTAACAGTCTAAAGCTAATGAAGTCCTGTCCTTCCACTGGCAAGTTTACCATGGACAACCAAGGGGCATTTCTCAGACTTTCTGTGCCAGCACTTCTGAACCTAACCTGCCCATCTGGATGCTCCTAATGCAGCAAGATATGCTCTAGGTTTACACATTAAGTTTCCATTCTCTGTCAGTCTGCCTACACCATCAGTATTCGGAATGGCGCAACTTATTTTTAAGAACAAAGCAAACAAACATTCCTCAGTATGAATGCAATGGTAGATGCAGCGTAAAAGCTATTTCTAATGGTACAACTCCCCTTGCTCCCTGCTTGGGATGAAGGTCCCTTGCGTGTTTGCATCCACATGGTACGTTTGGAAGGACTTTACGCTTTGCCAAGACTTTTAGAAACAGGTATTTAAATATGAGGCCCCATTTCTGAGGCCTGTCTTTTATTTTATTACTCATCCTGCACAAGTATATACACGCACACTTGCATTGGAATTAGGTTTAGCTACTGAAATTTAAATAGGCTATTTTTCTTCTCAAACAGATACTATATTCAGCAGGCCTCTTCCAACCCTGCCTGGCAAGGGATTTAACAACGTAAGCATAGCAACAGGAGAGATTTTGCATCCAACTACCACCTCTAGTCCATGAATACACCTCTCCCACAGAGCTGTGCTTGCTAGAGAACAGCAGCAGCCTCCTGACCCTGAGTACAGCTCTGAAGTGTTTGTGCAATCACACATGAAACCACAGAGCTCTGCTGTAGAGTGCCTTTGCCTTTAAGAAGAGTGAAAGGCTGGCAGAGAAAACTAGTGACATCATGTCAGCCTACATGGTCTTCCTGTAGGTTTTGCACATTATATATAGATGTTGGCTTTACTTCTAGTTGTTTGAGTTATTTTTAAAAGGCACAAGACCCTTCTTTGAAAGAGTAAGGAAGTAAACTCTGAGACTTGTGGTTAAAATCGTGGTTAAGTTCAGATCCTCTTTTAAGCTTTTACATCACAGTGAATTGGTCATTAGCTGTAGATTGGCACCTCAATATGCAAGAGCACCATGCAGCAAAGGAAACGGCTGCATTTTGTTCTCTTCAGTCAAAAATACTATTGTGAAGTATTATTCCCATTTTAGAGGTGCTGAAGGTGGAAGGTACTTGGCTCAAGTGAAATGCATAGTGCAACAATAAGCAGGGAAAAGGCATCCTGAAACAGATCCTTATCTTATGACTTAACAACAAAACACACTTGCTTATCATATAACTATTTCTTAGCTGTGCACTTTTTTTCCTGGGATCAGTCACTGAGAGCTGACACAAACAACCCACACCTGCGCTCCTGGCAGTTCCTCACACCACCTTGCCCTATGAATGTTCTGGCGACGTGGCAGTCAGAGAGCAAACGAGGAGATTAAAAAAAAAAATTAAGAAAGTCAGTGTGGTGAAACACTATAGCAAACAAAGGCCAGACTTCACCCAGACATGATCGCAACTGCCAGTCTGCATAAGAAACAGGAAAAGGGAGGAGGGAGTAATATTTTAAAAAAAAAAAAAAAAAAAAAAAAAAAAAACCCAACAACAACCAGGAAGCATTTCCCCTCCACATGCATGAAGCAGCTCTCATGCATACGTGGAAACTTTCCAAGCGTAACCCAACCAGTGCTAGAGAGCTGACAAGAGGTTTGGGAGCTACCTCCCAGGACCAGGCCAAAGCAGAAACAGCACTCAATTTTTGGTATGCAAACTTAAGGATGTTCCCCTCTAATTTGTTTTCTCTTAGAGAAGATTCTTGTCTCTCCCTTGGATTTTCAGATACTCTCTGAAATTACGATGACACTAGTATCTGATGGCTACAGCAAAGTCATCTAGCCCTCCTGACCCAGTTAGGTGTTTCCCAAGGTCTTCAGAGTCCCCAGCTGTGCAGTGCTACTGTGTTGTGCCGGGAGATGACAAGCACAGAGCAAGACCTAACAGTATTCTGGCTCAGTTTCCTGAACGGAAGAAAGGCAGGACAGCAAACCAGAACACCTGAACGCTTACATGGTCAATGGGGAAAAAGAGATTTCTTCCTTCTCTCTCTTTCTCTCCCCCCCATAACTCACATTATCCTTTAAGCCAACAGACCTTCACAAGGTTGACTATTACCATTTCCATCACAAAAAACGGGTAAGAAGATTCAATTTTTTTCTAGTATTCTGACAGAGTGGATGCGTATCTACTCTTAAAAATCTGAAAAGTTGTATGCTGACACTCACTTTGCTTCATCTTTCTCTTCCTCCTCCCAAAGTAAAACTTCTTGTCCTGTTTTCTTTTGCTTGCTTTACGCAAGACAAATAGGAGCCTAGGAAACCACACATGCCCTAGCCAATGCCAAATAGGTCATACCTACCAGCTGTATCCCCACTGCTGCCCAAGATAATCTTAGGTCTTTGGTTATTACCCACCCAAGACAACATCCACACCCGCATTCAGTAGCCTCCTCAAAGTACCTTGTGACTGTGCTCCTTGAGGGGCAGTTCTTGCACAGACCTGGTGCTCACGCTTTCAAAGGTGTCTGAGCATTCCCAACTCATTGCTCCCTTAAAGAGAGGATTGCCAAAGGAGGATTGCCAGAGGAAGCAAAGGCAGCAAGGTAGCACAGTTGGTTCCTGGACTGCCACCACTCTGCACTTAAATTACTGTAAGTGTAACTGTCAGTTATACTTCCTGTATTAATGCAAGAGCTGTCTTTGTGACAGCAGTGACAAGAGTTCCTTCTCAGGTCCCACAGGTTTACCATGCTAGAGACAAGGAAAGTACCACTGATAACAGAAGCTGCTTCTAACTCCAATGTCCAGCCACTCACACAAGCACTAGAGTCCTGGGGATGCTGGAACCATAGCAATGGCCTGGTAACCCCATAACCTGCCTTTCTGAACCCAATGCACGCAACTGCTCAGGTTTGTCTAGTTCAAGGCCTTCTGAGGTTAAGAGGGAAGCTGTTACATGCAGTCACTACCTCCTCCTTCTAGGGGGCAAATACTTATCACTCTACTGCTTGTCACAATATGCCCATATGCGAGAACACATTACCTGGCAGAATGACCCTCCCAGCCGCTGCCAGAGCCTCTGCCTTTCATGTGCCTGAATAAGCAAGTGAAGGACGTCTGCTGTGCCTGGGCAAGATCAGCCAGGTTTCCAGCACAAACACTGAATGAATGATCTCCTTTTAGATACACACAAGGGCCAGATACTTGTGTTCACACTGTCCGATCTAGTTGACCCAGGAATTCCAATATCGTCTTTCCCTCGAAAATTCACACTACTGTGGCTTTAAGATCTTTAGCCTTAGCCACCATAGGGCACCTGGCCCTCCGCCTGTGAAGCTGTCATCTGTTGATGTGTTCCTCACAGTCTTATCATGCTCCTTACATTTAGCATCAGCACTGAATAATAGTGGGAGACTAACTTTCCTGGACTTGACACAGTAAAAAGGCTGATGACACCCAGGATTAACTCCGCCTCAGATGTGAGAAGAGCTGTTTCCCAACTCTCCCTGGACTTCATTCAAAGCAACAGCTGGTTCAAACAAACTCCTGAGAAAGCTAAGCTACTGCCAACCAAGAAAATCTCACCATTTCATAGAAGGCATATGCTGTCAGATTGAGAGACAACCTGCTGTTGATGCAGTGGCCTGGACTCTTCCATGTTTTGGTTACTTTCAAAAAAAACTCTTTTCATCTGCTGTTGGAGAGATGACAGCGACCTCGTTTCTGAAGGGTAAAGGTACCATCGGTTTGGGATTTTTACTTGTTTCATGTGTTGTGAATTTTGGGGAGGGTGATGATGGAAAGGTTTGGTACTGTCCCTATTCAAAGTCCGTTCCAAACACATCGGAAAAAAGTATTTAACAGATACCAGAGGCATCTACGACAAAGACAGAAAACATTTGGTTCTCAGTGCTGCACTAAGAAAAGAGATTATAAAGAAATGGTGTGTAAAATAGTCTTCCTGTATTTGTAGATAACTTTTCCATGCTCCATTTGGATGTTTTTTTTTTTTTTTTTTTTTTTTTTTTTGAGTCAAGCACCTGTGACCTCCAGACTCAAGACACTGTTCTCTATTTCAGAGAAACAGGTAACTTTTCAAAAGCCCTTTGGTGTTTCAGAACATAGCAGCTCATCTGTTTGGCAGTGTACGTTTCTGGAGGGACATCACAGACTACATTCTCTTTACTGGAAAAGGGGACCCTCTACAAGCATGACCTGAGTTACATCTCGCTTCCCAGCTCCTTCTTCTAAAAAATAGCACACCATACTTTACAGAGATATTTCCTTTCTCTACTTTTTTGTGCTATGGATTTGCTAAGAAAGCGTCCATCTATGGAGGAAAGAGGAGCTCACTCCCAAGTCTGGAGGCAAACGGGCTCCTGCATCTCCCAAGCTGTTTCCTAAACTCACTACTCTAACCAAGACTTTCAGCCATGCTCCGTTCTTGCCTTTGCACCCCAAGTTGCTGTCAGACGGAAGAAAGGCACAACGGTCTGTCTAGGCACACCTCAGACCCTTACACACATGACACGTGCTCACGTATGCAAGAAGGGTGCTAACCTTCTGTCCATGTCGTAACTTCCTGTTCTGTGGACGCTGCTAAAGCAACAAGACTAACGAAACAGCGTTAGGATATTTTTTAAAACGCAGATTCATAGACTTGAGATTAATAACCTATGCCAGTAAAAGAAGCACGATAATACCAAGGTCCGAGAGTACGAAGAGACCAGAGTGCAGCAGTATAAAACGTGACTGGGAAGTAAGTTCCCCTGCCCCTCCTCTGCCCTTTCAGACTGCAGCACCCCAAAGCATCACAGGTCCGAGAGGTCCCTTCGGAGGCCTGTTCCTAAACACACAGGTCACTACTAAATACACAGCTGTGATACAGCTGCTGGGGACCCTGCCCTGGGTGCCCATCAAACCTGTCCTTTCCAAAAGAGCAGTCCATTGCCAATAGCCACAGGCTGCATCATGCAGCGGAGACAGAAGGATGCTAACAAGGTGGTGGATCCCTGCGCAGCAGGGCAGCGCTGGGCAGAGGCACCACACCAAGTCCTGAAGTGGCACAGAGCGCAGGCAACACCATCACCGACACAGCTGCCTCTCAGTGCTGTCCCCAGCACCGTCCCCTGAGCGCCCCTTCCACATCCCGCCACGGGGTAGAGATACACCCTTCCCTGTTTCAGCTTACTCGTTTTCCTCAGAGTGGCATAAAGAAGGGACTTTTTCCTTCCCATCAGAAGTTTTTACCAGCACGGTGGTAACAGAAGTTGACTCTCTTTATGCTCCGTTTTCAGGTACTCCCTATGAACCGCATCCTGCGAGATGCTTGGACACAACACTGCTCGGGAAACGACAGCAGCACCAAGGACAGGAAGTTCTGTCGCTCTCCAGTGCTTCTCTCTGCGCGCACAACGCGCCGCAGGTCCCAGCAGGCCACTTCCCACCTGCCTCGCATCGCGTTACCTTAAAACGGAGGGGGAGAAACGCGTCGCGGGCGAACGGAGGCGAAGAGCTCAGGGAAGCGGCGCCCCGCAGCCCTGCCCGGGCGGGCTCCATCTTAGCCGCGCTCCCGCTCGCAGCGGCGCTCGCCGCCCC